GAACGCACCTAGTCTGGACTCCATTATATTAATGATCATTTCCAGAGTTGGACAGTGGGCGTGGTACATTTCCAGACGTTTCGCCGGCATCGTCAGTGAGCTTTGTCCTTCTTTGAATCACTCACAACTCGTCAAAGGGACAAGGGAAGCCGATCCTCTGGCTAATTGTCTGCCAAACGACTGTGGTATCTCTCCTGCTCTGGGCTATTCATCAATCTTATCTCCTCATACCTCCATTCACTATCGCAATTTCTTATTTAAATGTGATATGATGTGCCCTTTTTAGCGAATTTAATGAGAACTCTTAAACCTCCCGCTGGCTTTCTCACCCCCTCATTCCAAGATTCTCTTCCCATAAGTCTTATCAGTCTTCTTTTTGGCCCGTAGGATCCGCTTCCTACCTTCCTGGTTCAGGTATGGCACTCGACCCCTGCCACCCTTTATATACTACTCGTAACGTTATTTCCCACGCTCTGAGACTAGAGCTAGTTGGCCAACAGTAGACGTGTTTGATCATAGATGTAGTCTATGAGGCAAAGGCTTGGCTATCAGAATTACTCGGGCTCTTTAGCCTCAAGTTAGTCTCTCATTCAAGTTGAGAATACCGATTTTTAGGGGCCTACTCAGCGAGACAGGAGTATGCGTGCCACCAAGGGCTTGAGACAGCGTAGAAAATAACGCTTCGAGTAGTACGGAAAGGGTGGCAGGGGTCGAATGAAATACCTGAACCAGGAAGATAAGAAGCGACAGTGTTTGGATAGTGTTAAAGCAAAGCCTTTGAAATTTTCGTCGTCAACTCCTTATATACAATCTCTTTTGTTGCGCTGCGAGGTTATTTTTATTCCCGTTTGTTTACATGTAACTGAGTTTATTTTTCATCTGTTCTATCTGCTTACATAGATTACTTCATTGTTGGTGTCCAATACATCTTCTAATGCTTCCATGATGACTTTAGCAGCCTTGCGGACTGGTGGCGGAGTTCATGTTCTTCCTATATTGTCTTCTGGGTTTGTATTTATATATCCGCTTTATACTTTTACTTATCTTTTAATTTATTGTAAGGAAAATGCTAGGATCCCTTTGCTCTAAAATTTAAATTTAGTAGAGCTAAAAATTTATAGTTACTTTTGATTTATTGCACGAATCCTCAACCTGAATTTTCGTTTAAATATGGGCACAGGCAGACTGGACATCTCAAAGATTTTTTAGCATTATGCTACATTCCAAAAGTCATCTAGGTTATTGTTAGAGGGACATTCATTTCGTATGAAAGTTCATGAAGAAGAGATTCGTTAGTCGTTCTCACCAGATGAAGACGGATGAAACTCGTACTGCAGCCGGTTGGATTGTATGGGATATTCATGTTGACGCAGT